GTGTGTGTGTGTGTGTGTGTGTACATATATATATATATATACGAAAAAAAAATAATATTTTCATATGAACGTACCATATATTGAAATGAATATACAGTTAAATCAACTTGTGTTTTATGAGTATATTTACAATTGTAACATGGAAAAAAATTCATTCATTTTTATATTAACACATGGTACAGATTGCGAAATATATTCGATTCAATATCATATCCGCAGACAATTATAAATGAGATAAAAGAATTTAATACAGATATGTTACAATATACAAAAAATAAAAAATGATGTACAAATTCAAACATGTGTTTTAATCATAAATGCATTTTGACACACTCATATATTTATGTTAAAATAAAATAAATTAATAAAGTTAAAAAAATAATAAAAATAAGATATAAACGCTAGGTCTGTCTAATGTAGAGTTTATTATAAAAATTGCGTTTAAGTGCAAGGTTAGAATAGATTAATTCAGATATAGATAATTGATGGAATAAAGAAAATTATTAAAAGATAATTATTATAAGATATATAAATCACTTTTTGAAGTTTAGCAAACAATGATTAAATACTTTGGTATCTGCATGTGCGTGCGTGCGTGTGTGTGTGTGTGTGTGTGTGTGTGTGTGTGTGTGTGTGTGTGTGTGGCGCGCGCGCGTGCATATACATATTAAGAATTTTAAGCACGACCGTATATGAATACATCGAATACGATAAAGAAAACTAAAATCGGTCAAATTTTGGATGTTACAAATAATACATTATATATTTTTTTATTAAATCAATTTATTCCAGATATAATTGCGAGCCGATAACATTCGGTTTCAACATAATCATTCTGAAACGCTACTAATTCCTTTTAAATTAAATTAGAAAGAAAGAAAGAAAGAAAAAAAGTAAGAAATTTATTGCGAAAAATATTACCTCAGCCAGAATTCGAACCTCTCAACTTTCCGGGAAGAATGTCTTACCCAGCTCGACCATTGAGACAACACTCTTCCCGGAAAGTTGAGAGGTTCGAATCTTGGCTGAGCTAATATTTTTCGTAATAAATTTCTTACTTTCTTTCTTTCTAATTTAATATAGGGGCGTTTCAGAATGATTGTGTTGAAACCGAATGTTATCGACTCACAATTATATCTAGAATAAATTTATATATATATATAGAAAAACGAGACCTGTTTCACATTAGACACAATTAGAACCTCATCAATGTACATTTAAAACTACACGCACCTAGTAAGTTTGAAAAAACTGGAATATTTTTTTCTATTTGATCACTATCTTTTTCTTACATACATTACGAATATCCTACGTATCTATTAATTTCAATGAATTCAACATCTAAAGGGGAGTAAACGGAAAAAATGAGAAATGTTATGATGTACTAAGGTCGTGCAGCTAAATACACATTGTCTTTTTTTTTACATCTATACAATTATGTACATGCATACAGGTTTCTTCTGTTGTATTATAGGTTTATACAAATCTAATATTTCCTCTATTCGCTCATTGCATGCACATCTATCTATTATGAACCAGGTCTCAACAATATCAACTATCTTTCTTACAGGAATTGCTATCTCTACATTAAAATATCTGATGTAAAATTGTATGTATATCGAGCAGTCAGAGAATGTGGTTACGTAAATAAAAAGTCTAGTCCTAAGCCACGTCATCCTTGGTTGTCGTCCTCGACAAGTTCTAATTACTTAAAATTATCCAACGCATTTTTAAAAAAGCATTATATAGATGTATCACAGGTACTGTTACCAGATAGGGCCATTTTTGAAAGACTAGAAAGACTTCGTCTGGGACTACTACCTCCGAGAAAGCTGCTGCTAGACTCAGAGAATATTTTTCGGAAGCTAAAATAAAATTTTAAAACGCTTTAGATACATGTTACACACAAATATGAAGAAACGAAAATAATAAACACATACAATTTACGAATTCCAGATTCAGAGGATTTTTTCCATGGTGCATCATCTGGTTCATAAGGAAGCGGCCCCTGCACGGGTGCATCTTTGTCATCCTCAGGACTGAAACAACATGAAATTATATGAATATTTTATATGGCAAATAATTTATATATTATTTATTATTCAATGATTTACATTTCAGGTTTTGGTCTATATAATTCTAGTTCGTCTTCGAGATCCGAAACTCTTGCTTTCAATTCATTTCGCTCGTGTAAAATTTCTTTTAGTTCGGCAGTCGTGAATCTGGGCCTATCAGGATCATCCAGGTCATAAATTGCTTTGTTCGTCAAATCAGGACAGCCTTGTAATTTACTCAAATCCTCATTTTCTTTCTTAGCCATGCCAAGCCGTCCCCGAAGATTTATAAGTTCCCGATTCTGATCCTGCAGTTGTGCTAAAAAGTCAGCTCTTTCTTCTACTAAACCTCGAGCTTGCATTTGCGCTTGTCGTTGTTTACGTTTCAATTCCCGTCCCAGTACGGTAAGTTTCTCCACTTGTGCACTCAACTATGTACAACACGTTATATTATTTTTATTATGTACAACTTATAATAAAATCATATGAATTTTCATGTTAAGACATAATTTTAAAATGAAATTTTCTCTTTAAATCTTTAATAATTTTAAAGTACTTGGAAATATATAATAGACATATAAGACATGTATATTTATATTAAAAATATTCATATCTTATGTCTATTAAAAAAAATCATCGAATTGTGCATATGTATATATAAATACCAATTTACATTTTCAATTTCTGCGGTTTTTTGTGACAATTCTCGATCTCTAGCACGGATCTGCTCTCGTTGTTTATCTATCATAGACCTCAAATGTTGTAGAACTGCTATATCAACCTCCTGACTAGCTGTGATAGCTAAAAATTAATGAAACAGTTATTTCATTGTTTTGTTAATATATACAATGTTCTGTCAAACGTATGTCTGTACGTTTAACAGAACCTTTTAATAATTACTGGATTAGTGACTGGTTAATTGGTGTTAGTACTTGTTTGTTTACTGCTGTACTGACTATCACTACGTGATTCATGTAGAGATTCGGCTAATCGTCTGTTTTCTTCTTGTAATCTAGTAACCATTGCTACTAAATCGCGTGATTCTTGTCTCCAGTGTTCCTCAATTTGTTCCAATTCCTAAAAGAATCAATTAAAGTTAACAATACATAACTGTGATATCAAATATACGATCATGAATTATAAATCGTATTGAGATTGTTGTATAAAAGTTAAACTATTAGCTACCTTTTCAAATCGTTGCCTATCTTCAGCCTTTCCAATCTTATCGCTCTCAAGCTGAGAAATCTTAGCACTCAGCTCTTGCACCATAGTATTTTCACGCTCATTCTTAGTAGCAAGATTCTCAAGTAGCTCTAAAGCGTTTATCACCTTTGGCATTAAATTGGTCACCGACTCCACCCCAAACAGATCTATGAGCTTCTCGCATTCCTTCCCTATCTCCGATGCAATATCGTACACGTCCACTACTGACACATCAGATGCAACAGAATATTCTTCCATTTTGCAAGTTGCGTTACCTCTCAGACAAAACGGCATGAATACAACTTTTTGCCGCAGCACGCTCTACGCGTAAATCTGCTGAATGTTAGGAGAAGGAGATCTCATAAAGACGTTTCGCCCGAAGATTATCGTCTTTCTACGTTTCTAATGTTTCTATACACTTGATTGTGCGATCTCCGATGGAGAATCGCATACATACAGAACAAAGTTACAGATAATCACAGCCAAGCTACACGAAATATTCTAGTGCGTACGCCACAGATATATATACGTGCCTGTAGGTTTGTGATAAATAAATTGCGTGACTTAGGTGTGGCGTTAATTGTCAAAACGACAGAATCCGCAATCACGCATCGACGGACGTTCGCATTATGCACTCGTCGTTTCTTAGATCGAATATCAGCCCGGGAAGTGCAACGGACTCCGGTGATGTCATAGCAATTCTATCAAAACGTCATGTTTAAATTCCGGTCGCACACACAGAAGTTACGGCGGAGCAGATGATTGAGATTATTCACGGTGTATATATATATATGTGCACATGTATGCGATTCATCGCACAGTACCGAGCCTACGGCACCGAGAGGAACGCCTTCTCTCGGAGCAACATGAAACGTATATAGACAAGAATTATTTTTTCCTATCGACATTCTAATAATTTAGAGTATCTATTGCACAACGATGTGAAATGAATCACGAAAAATGGTAATATTTTTATTTTTTTATATATAAATTATGCACATGCACACATACATAATAGCAAGAAAAGTTGAGAAAATATAATAAGCTTAATCATTATACTCATTGCTATATACAGAAAATAATGATTATTATAAAAAATTTTTCATGTATGAATATATATGTATAAACATACATAAATATTCATAAACATATATAATCATATATGAAATATGTCCCTACAGCACAAAGTTGCACAAAAGTTGCAGCAATACTGCTGCAATATTGCTGCAACGTTACACGTATTGCAGAGATTTTGCAGTAATATTGCTGCAAATTTTGTGCTATATGGGTACATGTTCATACATCCCTCTTTCTTTTGTAAAATTAGTTTTTAGTATAATAGACATAATAATATAGTAATGTGAAAAAATAATAAAAGTATAATTTTTGCATTATTCGTTTTAGAAAAAAATAAGTTTGGAAAAATATAAAAAAAATTGTTCATACACAATTATACATAATTTTATATATAATTATACATAAGTAATTTTTTTATATTACTTTAAACTTGATTTTTTTTTCTAAAATAAATAGTGTGAAAATTACCCTTTTATTATTTTTAATTATTTTCTATTTTCACATTACTATTATTATTTCTATTACACTAAAAAGTAATTTTACAAAAGTAATTTTACAAAAGAAAGAAAAATATATGTGACCATGTACATAGACATATTTCATATATGATTATACATGTTTATGAATATTTATGTATGTTAATTTATACATATTTATACATATTCATGCATGAAAAAAATTGCGTGATGGAAAGAACGAGAGAGATAACACTTTGAGATTAAAAAAATATTTAAAATCAGACTTACTTAAATTATACAAATAATCTATATACATTGTTTTTAATATTTTAACAACAGATTCTTAGAAAATATATGGTGTCTCAAAGTCTTAAGTTAAAAGGATTATAATTTCAGGTGACAGAAAGTTGAAAAGCGTTCTGTATCGTCGATATATTGCATAGAAAGCACGTTGGAATGCAAGGATCGTAACCATAGAAGTATACGTATTGTTAGATCGTTAGATGTATCATAACATATACTCTGGATAATTCTGCAAATAAAGAGATCGTAAAATCGTTTAAGAAGTCTGATGCCCGTTTCTACTAATGTAGATTAACTTAAATCTCGGTTCAACTTACTCTTCATCTTTTTCTTATTCTTAAAACTAAAAAAAAGATGAAGAGTTAATTGAACCGAGATTAAACTGTATTGATAGAAACGAGCATCAGAGAGAGAAAGGATCATGAGCGAGCAAGAAGACATCGCGATTTCAATAACTCGAATGGAGAAACTTTTGACGAGCGTTACTAACAGGATAAAGGAATCGGTAATTTTGCAAAATTTATATTCGAAATGAATGAATTTCTTTGTTTTCTTAACAGATATTAATTTTTTCTTTTATGTTTTTTTGTTTGAAAAAGTGTTCATTCTAGATATCTCTCAAAATTTTTCTTATTTAATTATTATTTAATTTTATTTAATATTTATTTCAGTAATTTCACTCGATTTCAAACTTTATATTTCGTGTGTCGTATACACAAGATTTTCAAACGCACTGATTGGTTGTTGGATAGAGAATTTCCGAAGTTTCAATAATTTTTCTCCGATCAATCAATCGGCGAGTCTGAAAAAGAACTACTTTTATCAATGTGATAACGCGTTAACTTCGTGCTAAAAATCGCTATGTTGCATTCGTAAAACAGTTTCAAAATTATCCGTTCTATAACAATTAAATATTGAATGTTAAATAAAAAATAATCTTAATCGAATCATTCTTTATTATTATTACTTAATAGATTGAAAAATGTGGAGTCGATGATTCACCATTGCTTCAAGAGATCATCGCTCTCATCGAGCTCTTAAAAAAATTCGTTATATCCCGCATGAAGAGACCTCCCAATATAGAATCCATGCACGCTATCAATTTGCACGATTGCCGGACAAAAATAGCGGAAGTCTTGGCGGAACTCGAAGGTAAATTTAATGAAGAAAAATTCTATTGTTGTTAAATAATATATACGCATTATTTCGGACACAGATTAAAAGTATCAATTACCATGGCAGCTTTGCAGGAGATGTCTGAAGAACAAAACTCGAGCTCTGAAATTTTTCTGAGGGATATTGTTACCTGCGTAAATGACGAGGAAGAAATAATGCGAAACATCAAGGAAGTGTCAGAAGTAGAGATACCAAAAGAAATGTACTGAGAAATGTATTATTTATTGAAATAAAATTCATCTCTCTTTGTATTATAATTTCTTACAAATATTATAATTTCTAACAAATTTTATTTTTATTTGTAGAGAGGAATCAATGCGGGAAATGATGAATGTAAGGGAACGAGAGGAAATACGAAGGAAAATATTACAATCTGAAATAAATTCAGCAGAGCGTAGATTGCACAATATTACAGAATTCAATGCAACATCTGAGAAAAAGCTTTTTGATATATGGTAAATGTGAAATAATTTCCCTAAAAATATTCATTTAATTAGAGAATATCTGTTATCATCCAAGAATATGAAGAAGTTATTGTTCAATTTTATTAATTTTATATTTTAGTGCAAACATTGAACAACAATATATTGCACTTCTTGCTAAATATGATTGCGACATCGGCGCGTCTCATGCGTTATCGGAAGAACTATCAAAAAACAATGAAATTATTAAAGAAAAAATTAAAGAAATGGAGGTTTGTATATTTAATCTTAAATTTAATATATATTTAATATGTACAACTTTTCTGAACTGTCATTAATTTTTTTCATTAGGATCAACTGACCGTGCAACGGGAACTGTATGTTCAATTCAAGAAGGAGCGAGAAATCGCGCTAATGATAGCTTTCACTAAACAACTGGATTTACTTAGGCGCAACCGAGCCGCTAAGATTATCCAAAGAACATGGAAAGCGTATTTTGAGCGTATTTCTTTAAAGAAACGACGAAAAACGAAGAGAAAATAGACAAAAATAAGATAATTCCATCAGTTTTACATTTGAACAAACAAATGATATTATTCTAATAGCACAGATCTTCAGATGCGGATTCTCCGTATGTCCTTTGAACATTCTAGTGACATCCCCAGGATGTATTCCGGATACAGTGTGCTATTAAAGTAGTTCGTCAATTTACGCACGAGAAAACAAAGCACCGAAAATAATATTTTATGAATATGCTAAGATATATAATCTAAACTACTGTAATGGGAAAACTAGAAGGAAAGAGCAAGTGACATTACATTAGCTTATTTTATTCACTGAGTTGACAAAGCATAGCTACTCCTCTTATAATCCAGTGTTCAGATGGTTTCTCCGTAGGCAATCGTATGGCTATGACAAAGTTCGTAGAGTGACCAGTAGTGGATAATACCCCACGGCGTTCGCTGGTTTTATATAGCGGACAAACATACAATTGTCTTTCTATGATATCTTGCTTCTTTATTGGTATCAGCCACAGCTGGAATTGTAGTGAAAAGGTAAGTTTTGTCATTGATCTATAAATACATGTATATCGTTTCTTGGGAGATAAATTTACTTACAAAAGGTACGTTATCGTAAAGTACTTTGGGAAAACTTTCCTCTATACACATTTTCTTTATATCAAATCTTGCACCGTTGTCCAAGATAAAATGGGGAGCCGATAACATTCGGTTTCAACACATTCATTCAGAAATGCTACTAATCCCCCCTAAATTAAATAGAAAGAAAGAAAGAAAGAAAGAAAGAAAGAAAGTAAAAAATTTATTACGAAAAATATTACCCCAGCCAAGATTCGAACCTCTCAACTTTCCGGGAAGAATGTCTTACCCAGCTCGACCATTGAGACAACACTCTTCCCGGAAAGTTGAGAGGTTCGAATCTTGGCTGAGCTAATATTTTTCGTAATAAATTTCTTACTTTCTTTCTTTCTAATTTAATATAGGGGCGTTTCAGAATGATTGTGTTGAAACCGAATGTTATCGACTCACAATTATATCTAGAATAAATTTATATATATATATAGAAAAACGAGACCTGTTTCACATTAGACACAATTAGAACCTCATCAATGTACATTTAAAACTACACGCACCTAGTAAGTTTGAAAAAACTGGAATATTTTTTTCTATTTGATCACTATCTTTTTCTTACATACATTACGAATATCCTACGTATCTATTAATTTCAATGAATTCAACATCTAAAGGGGAGTAAACGGAAAAAATGAGAAATGTTATGATGTACTAAGGTCGTGCAGCTAAATACACATTGTCTTTTTTTTTACATCTATACAATTATGTACATGCATACAGGTTTCTTCTGTTGTATTATAGGTTTATACAAATCTAATATTTCCTCTATTCGCTCATTGCATGCACATCTATCTATTATGAACCAGGTCTCAACAATATCAACTATCTTTCTTACAGGAATTGCTATCTCTACATTAAAATATCTGATGTAAAATTGTATGTATATCGAGCAGTCAGAGAATGTGGTTACGTAAATAAAAAGTCTAGTCCTAAGCCACGTCATCCTTGGTTGTCGTCCTCGACAAGTTCTAATTACTTAAAATTATCCAACGCATTTTTAAAAAAGCATTATATAGATGTATCACAGGTACTGTTACCAGATAGGGCCATTTTTGAAAGACTAGAAAGACTTCGTCTGGGACTACTACCTCCGAGAAAGCTGCTGCTAGACTCAGAGAATATTTTTCGGAAGCTAAAATAAAATTTTAAAACGCTTTAGATACATGTTACACACAAATATGAAGAAACGAAAATAATAAACACATACAATTTACGAATTCCAGATTCAGAGGATTTTTTCCATGGTGCATCATCTGGTTCATAAGGAAGCGGCCCCTGCACGGGTGCATCTTTGTCATCCTCAGGACTGAAACAACATGAAATTATATGAATATTTTATATGGCAAATAATTTATATATTATTTATTATTCAATGATTTACATTTCAGGTTTTGGTCTATATAATTCTAGTTCGTCTTCGAGATCCGAAACTCTTGCTTTCAATTCATTTCGCTCGTGTAAAATTTCTTTTAGTTCGGCAGTCGTGAATCTGGGCCTATCAGGATCATCCAGGTCATAAATTGCTTTGTTCGTCAAATCAGGACAGCCTTGTAATTTACTCAAATCCTCATTTTCTTTCTTAGCCATGCCAAGCCGTCCCCGAAGATTTATAAGTTCCCGATTCTGATCCTGCAGTTGTGCTAAAAAGTCAGCTCTTTCTTCTACTAAACCTCGAGCTTGCATTTGCGCTTGTCGTTGTTTACGTTTCAATTCCCGTCCCAGTACGGTAAGTTTCTCCACTTGTGCACTCAACTATGTACAACACGTTATATTATTTTTATTATGTACAACTTATAATAAAATCATATGAATTTTCATGTTAAGACATAATTTTAAAATGAAATTTTCTCTTTAAATCTTTAATAATTTTAAAGTACTTGGAAATATATAATAGACATATAAGACATGTATATTTATATTAAAAATATTCATATCTTATGTCTATTAAAAAAAATCATCGAATTGTGCATATGTATATATAAATACCAATTTACATTTTCAATTTCTGCGGTTTTTTGTGACAATTCTCGATCTCTAGCACGGATCTGCTCTCGTTGTTTATCTATCATAGACCTCAAATGTTGTAGAACTGCTATATCAACCTCCTGACTAGCTGTGATAGCTAAAAATTAATGAAACAGTTATTTCATTGTTTTGTTAATATATACAATGTTCTGTCAAACGTATGTCTGTACGTTTAACAGAACCTTTTAATAATTACTGGATTAGTGACTGGTTAATTGGTGTTAGTACTTGTTTGTTTACTGCTGTACTGACTATCACTACGTGATTCATGTAGAGATTCGGCTAATCGTCTGTTTTCTTCTTGTAATCTAGTAACCATTGCTACTAAATCGCGTGATTCTTGTCTCCAGTGTTCCTCAATTTGTTCCAATTCCTAAAAGAATCAATTAAAGTTAACAATACATAACTGTGATATCAAATATACGATCATGAATTATAAATCGTATTGAGATTGTTGTATAAAAGTTAAACTATTAGCTACCTTTTCAAATCGTTGCCTATCTTCAGCCTTTCCAATCTTATCGCTCTCAAGCTGAGAAATCTTAGCACTCAGCTCTTGCACCATAGTATTTTCACGCTCATTCTTAGTAGCAAGATTCTCAAGTAGCTCTAAAGCGTTTATCACCTTTGGCATTAAATTGGTCACCGACTCCACCCCAAACAGATCTATGAGCTTCTCGCATTCCTTCCCTATCTCCGATGCAATATCGTACACGTCCACTACTGACACATCAGATGCAACAGAATATTCTTCCATTTTGCAAGTTGCGTTACCTCTCAGACAAAACGGCATGAATACAACTTTTTGCCGCAGCACGCTCTACGCGTAAATCTGCTGAATGTTAGGAGAAGGAGATCTCATAAAGACGTTTCGCCCGAAGATTATCGTCTTTCTACGTTTCTAATGTTTCTATACACTTGATTGTGCGATCTCCGATGGAGAATCGCATACATACAGAACAAAGTTACAGATAATCACAGCCAAGCTACACGAAATATTCTAGTGCGTACGCCACAGATATATATACGTGCCTGTAGGTTTGTGATAAATAAATTGCGTGACTTAGGTGTGGCGTTAATTGTCAAAACGACAGAATCCGCAATCACGCATCGACGGACGTTCGCATTATGCACTCGTCGTTTCTTAGATCGAATATCAGCCCGGGAAGTGCAACGGACTCCGGTGATGTCATAGCAATTCTATCAAAACGTCATGTTTAAATTCCGGTCGCACACACAGAAGTTACGGCGGAGCAGATGATTGAGATTATTCACGGTGTATATATATATATGTGCACATGTATGCGATTCATCGCACAGTACCGAGCCTACGGCACCGAGAGGAACGCCTTCTCTCGGAGCAACATGAAACGTATATAGACAAGAATTATTTTTTCCTATCGACATTCTAATAATTTAGAGTATCTATTGCACAACGATGTGAAATGAATCACGAAAAATGGTAATATTTTTATTTTTTTATATATAAATTATGCACATGCACACATACATAATAGCAAGAAAAGTTGAGAAAATATAATAAGCTTAATCATTATACTCATTGCTATATACAGAAAATAATGATTATTATAAAAAATTTTTCATGTATGAATATATATGTATAAACATACATAAATATTCATAAACATATATAATCATATATGAAATATGTCCCTACAGCACAAAGTTGCACAAAAGTTGCAGCAATACTGCTGCAATATTGCTGCAACGTTACACGTATTGCAGAGATTTTGCAGTAATATTGCTGCAAATTTTGTGCTATATGGGTACATGTTCATACATCCCTCTTTCTTTTGTAAAATTAGTTTTTAGTATAATAGACATAATAATATAGTAATGTGAAAAAATAATAAAAGTATAATTTTTGCATTATTCGTTTTAGAAAAAAATAAGTTTGGAAAAATATAAAAAAAATTGTTCATACACAATTATACATAATTTTATATATAATTATACATAAGTAATTTTTTTATATTACTTTAAACTTGATTTTTTTTTCTAAAATAAATAGTGTGAAAATTACCCTTTTATTATTTTTAATTATTTTCTATTTTCACATTACTATTATTATTTCTATTACACTAAAAAGTAATTTTACAAAAGTAATTTTACAAAAGAAAGAAAAATATATGTGACCATGTACATAGACATATTTCATATATGATTATACATGTTTATGAATATTTATGTATGTTAATTTATACATATTTATACATATTCATGCATGAAAAAAATTGCGTGATGGAAAGAACGAGAGAGATAACACTTTGAGATTAAAAAAATATTTAAAATCAGACTTACTTAAATTATACAAATAATCTATATACATTGTTTTTAATATTTTAACAACAGATTCTTAGAAAATATATGGTGTCTCAAAGTCTTAAGTTAAAAGGATTATAATTTCAGGTGACAGAAAGTTGAAAAGCGTTCTGTATCGTCGATATATTGCATAGAAAGCACGTTGGAATGCAAGGATCGTAACCATAGAAGTATACGTATTGTTAGATCGTTAGATGTATCATAACATATACTCTGGATAATTCTGCAAATAAAGAGATCGTAAAATCGTTTAAGAAGTCTGATGCCCGTTTCTACTAATGTAGATTAACTTAAATCTCGGTTCAACTTACTCTTCATCTTTTTCTTATTCTTAAAACTAAAAAAAAGATGAAGAGTTAATTGAACCGAGATTAAACTGTATTGATAGAAACGAGCATCAGAGAGAGAAAGGATCATGAGCGAGCAAGAAGACATCGCGATTTCAATAACTCGAATGGAGAAACTTTTGACGAGCGTTACTAACAGGATAAAGGAATCGGTAATTTTGCAAAATTTATATTCGAAATGAATGAATTTCTTTGTTTTCTTAACAGATATTAATTTTTTCTTTTATGTTTTTTTGTTTGAAAAAGTGTTCATTCTAGATATCTCTCAAAATTTTTCTTATTTAATTATTATTTAATTTTATTTAATATTTATTTCAGTAATTTCACTCGATTTCAAACTTTATATTTCGTGTGTCGTATACACAAGATTTTCAAACGCACTGATTGGTTGTTGGATAGAGAATTTCCGAAGTTTCAATAATTTTTCTCCGATCAATCAATCGGCGAGTCTGAAAAAGAACTACTTTTATCAATGTGATAACGCGTTAACTTCGTGCTAAAAATCGCTATGTTGCATTCGTAAAACAGTTTCAAAATTATCCGTTCTATAACAATTAAATATTGAATGTTAAATAAAAAATAATCTTAATCGAATCATTCTTTATTATTATTACTTAATAGATTGAAAAATGTGGAGTCGATGATTCACCATTGCTTCAAGAGATCATCGCTCTCATCGAGCTCTTAAAAAAATTCGTTATATCCCGCATGAAGAGACCTCCCAATATAGAATCCATGCACGCTATCAATTTGCACGATTGCCGGACAAAAATAGCGGAAGTCTTGGCGGAACTCGAAGGTAAATTTAATGAAGAAAAATTCTATTGTTGTTAAATAATATATACGCATTATTTCGGACACAGATTAAAAGTATCAATTACCATGGCAGCTTTGCAGGAGATGTCTGAAGAACAAAACTCGAGCTCTGAAATTTTTCTGAGGGATATTGTTACCTGCGTAAATGACGAGGAAGAAATAATGCGAAACATCAAGGAAGTGTCAGAAGTAGAGATACCAAAAGAAATGTACTGAGAAATGTATTATTTATTGAAATAAAATTCATCTCTCTTTGTATTATAATTTCTTACAAATATTATAATTTCTAACAAATTTTATTTTTATTTGTAGAGAGGAATCAATGCGGGAAATGATGAATGTAAGGGAACGAGAGGAAATACGAAGGAAAATATTACAATCTGAAATAAATTCAGCAGAGCGTAGATTGCACAATATTACAGAATTCAATGCAACATCTGAGAAAAAGCTTTTTGATATATGGTAAATGTGAAATAATTTCCCTAAAAATATTCATTTAATTAGAGAATATCTGTTATCATCCAAGAATATGAAGAAGTTATTGTTCAATTTTATTAATTTTATATTTTAGTGCAAACATTGAACAACAATATATTGCACTTCTTGCTAAATATGATTGCGACATCGGCGCGTCTCATGCGTTATCGGAAGAACTATCAAAAAACAATGAAATTATTAAAGAAAAAATTAAAGAAATGGAGGTTTGTATATTTAATCTTAAATTTAATATATATTTAATATGTACAACTTTTCTGAACTGTCATTAATTTTTTTCATTAGGATCAACTGACCGTGCAACGGGAACTGTATGTTCAATTCAAGAAGGAGCGAGAAATCGCGCTAATGATAGCTTTCACTAAACAACTGGATTTACTTAGGCGCAACCGAGCCGCTAAGATTATCCAAAGAACATGGAAAGCGTATTTTGAGCGTATTTCTTTAAAGAAACGACGAAAAACGAAGAGAAAATAGACAAAAATAAGATAATTCCATCAGTTTTACATTTGAACAAACAAATGATATTATTCTAATAGCACAGATCTTCAGATGCGGATTCTCCGTATGTCCTTTGAACATTCTAGTGACATCCCCAGGATGTATTCCGGATACAGTGTGCTATTAAAGTAGTTCGTCAATTTACGCACGAGAAAACAAAGCACCGAAAATAATATTTTATGAATATGCTAAGATATATAATCTAAACTACTGTAATGGGAAAACTAGAAGGAAAGAGCAAGTGACATTACATTAGCTTATTTTATTCACTGAGTTGACAAAGCATAGCTACTCCTCTTATAATCCAGTGTTCAGATGGTTTCTCCGTAGGCAATCGTATGGCTATGACAAAGTTCGTAGAGTGACCAGTAGTGGATAATACCCCACGGCGTTCGCTGGTTTTATATAGCGGACAAACATACAATTGTCTTTCTATGATATCTTGCTTCTTTATTGGTATCAGCCACAGCTGGAATTGTAGTGAAAAGGTAAGTTTTGTCATTGATCTATAAATACATGTATATCGTTTCTTGGGAGATAAATTTACTTACAAAAGGTACGTTATCGTAAAGTACTTTGGGAAAACTTTCCTCTATACACATTTTCTTTATATCAAATCTTGCACCGTCCAAAAATAACCCATAAATGTAAACGCCATCTTCGGGCATAATCGTGAAGACAGTTTCTTTCAGGATTATGAAATCAAATGCAAGAAGGTCTATAGGAATCTGATATTTTCGCGCGTAATTTTGCAGTGTCCCAGTTAGAAATGCTTGCGTAAAATAAAACCCAGACAACCAGAATGTAACAGGTGGTCCCTTCTCATACCATTGCTGTATAAAACAAATTCATGTTTCAAAATACAATAGTTTAAGATTAATTAAAAGAACAAAACGCTAATATACAGATAATTACTTGTAAAAATGTTAAACGTTGTAGAAAATCATTGATATAACTGCCCAAAGGTTTTAAAGAGGGGTAAGAATTTGTTTTCCACAAAAGAGGTAACTTGCTCATCAAGATTGCTCCGTAAATATCTTCAAGCTCAAAAGACATTAGAATCAAACCTGCGGTATTACGGTATTGCGATAATATAATTCCTAAGGCGCTGTTAATTTTTTTTATTCAATTTTTATCATAATACTTTTATTATATATACATATAAATAAAATATGAAAGATTAATAGTTCAAGTTAATTGACAATATTTCACGTGTATGAATTTTTTTTTAATTGATATACCTTTAATAGCTTTTTGTATATTAATAAGACTATTCCTGATACAGTTTAATAATTTGTTAAATCTGTCCATCTCTTGCACTAACACAGTGTTCATGCTTTGACTGTATAATGTAGGATATTTAGTAAGTGCTTCAATGAGATCGTAATCCTGTGGAAGCTTATCCAAGATATCTGTCGCGACATCATAAACTATATCATCGTCAGAAATTTGTCTTAAACCTTTAACAGCTTCCTAGGAGAAAAGATAATAAAACGTTTCATTATCTTTACTCGAATCGTTTAGTCCATTTAGTTTAAGATTACACCTCAAGCTCAGAGAAAATCAAATCAAGATTTATTAAATCAAGATTTATTACGTGCGCATGATGTAAGATCTCAAAAAGCGATATATAACATACCTCATTAATTTTCCAAAGATCCTGAGATCGAGCAATAAAAAAAAAGTAATTATAAAAAATGCATATTTAATACTTTATGATTGCATAAAATTTATTAGCGATTAGTGTAAATTAAAATTCTATAATTATAAATTAAAATTCTATTATTTTTCATGATTACATACCGTTCGATCCTGAATAAAGTTTGATAAAATAAAAAAGATAATTGTAATACATACGATACATAATATAATTATTTTCACAAAAAATTAAATAAAAATTACTTGAGTGAGCAATAATGAAGAGAATAACAGATCTGTTTCTCGCTGATCTTTAAGTATGTCGGCATTTTCATTCATGCCAAATACACTTGGTTCTGTAATTATCGGAAGTTTTCTAATGTATGCGATAAATTCTTCGTGTTCTTTAACGATCGGACAATAATAAATAGTAGACGATGCGTCAAAGTAGTATATTTCATCAGTCAATAGTTTCCTAAATAAAGACATAAATAATAATTTCTTAATTGATTAAAATTACACACGGACAATAGTTAATACTCACGGACAATAGTATTGTAATAGAATAGTATTCAGTGTTCTACGGTCCCACTCATCTGTAACTCTACCTCCATAGTTGCATTCACCCGTGAGGTACAGCAAAGCCTCAAACTGCACGTCCTCGTAATCGTCCAGAAACATCTTTAATTGCAAAGCGCTGATCCTCAGATCTGTCTCATTAAATTCGTATGGAATGTTCCAGCCAATCGGGCCAAATTTCCGTCTCTCTTGTACGATAGCATGGAAGAAGCTCAACGAGTACAGTAGCTTTTTAAAGTATTCGCTTTGAATGCAGCCTTCGAAGAACTCTATATTACTGATTGGATCATTTGTGTAGGACCTCAAAATATTGGCCCTGAGTCCTTTGGGCGGTTCATTCGTAATCTTGATACCGTTTTGAAGGACCGATGTGGGAAAATGCTCTGCCGGATAACTGGTTAACCATAGCCGGAAGTCAGGATGAATCGTATCGGGTGTCAGATCTTCGCATATGTTTTCTAAAATCGGCATCCAGCTCTTGGCCAGGTGACAATTTTGCAATATTACCCAATTACCATGCCACACACCGTCGTCTATTAATCTCTCCGCTATAGGTCCTTGACCTGAGACAATGACACGATTAGTTTTATACGATAAATTTTCATACAGTAAACACTTACCTTGGCCAAGAGACAGAGAGAAAAGACGGTCCGCACCATAGCCTTGCTCATCGGCAAATGCCAACAAGGTTTGCGTCGGATCGGCACCGGGAGTTAGGATGAATATCAATGGAATACTACAGTTGGAATCCGCAAAACAAGATGCTAAGTCAAAAAGTGGCGCTTCTACGTATTGCGGGCCCATTTGTTCTATAATACGAATAATTAGAGTAATCAATGATGTCTGTTTGATTCATTCAATTGATACTCGCTTGTAATATGTCTTTTACCTTCCACGAGCAATTGTACCGCTGAGATAATTTTATCGGGACGGATACAACGCAAAATTAATAATCGTTCGAATAAACTTAATTTGTCATATGGCGCTGGGAAAGTTTCTTTCTGCGGTTCTCTTGAGTCGAATATCTTCTTCCAGTTGTCAATTGCGTTGGAGAATGATTCTCTGATGCCCTACAGAATTGACAAATATAATCTATAAATATCGATTTTCTAATCGATTATACAAAAATTTACCTCGAATCCTTTAATAGTATCCAATCTGCATAGTTCATCCCAATTTTTTACGAGCAGCCACTCGATAGGATTAACGTATGGGTTTTCCAAACCTATTCCACCAGTTAATAAAAATAACCATTGGCTCGCGGCTTCCGGTGTAATGCTCATCTCATGCAGATTGAAAACGAGAAGTAGCGTGAATAACAATTTATCCTTAGCAAATAAAGATCTGCAGATATTGACGTAAAGGGAATATGTGAAGTGTTTGGTCAAGTCTGTCAGACGTTGTTTAATATTATCGGTCGGCTCCGTATGATCAATAGTCATGTTGAAAAGATTCACAAACCATATCAATGAATATTGATACATTGGATCTATGTTAGCTAGAGATACTGTGAAAAAATTAATCCGATTAAAACATTCAATTTAAAGACTTTTTCTTGATATTACTGATGCACGATTTATTTACCTATTGTGAAGAAAAGTATAGTCGAATAAGCCGCGATGGGTTGATACTGCAATCTCGCGGTATCGATCAACTTTTCCGTAACTTCCATGGCCGCTTGCTTTATCAGAATATCGTCGCACAAACTTTTAGACATCATTAAAATGTCAATAGCTTCCTCGTCTTCTAAAATGTCACCTTTTGTCGCGGAAAGTACTTCCAGGATTTTGTTTTCTATCTCTTGCAACATCCTATCATAAAGTAAAAAATTATATAAGTAAATTATATAAGTAAAATAGAAGGAGTATAACGTATATTAAAGAACATACTTTTTGTTTTCAGCACTCTGCACGATTAAAATATTTTTTTCTGATTCCAAATCGGGTCTTTCCCTCGCAACTACAATCCCAAGCAACTGATCCTCCAGACCGCTCGGTGTTATCATAAAATTCAGCAGAGTTACTCTTACAGCTATTTCCGGCAGATAATGAGGATTTCTTAATCTTGTCGTAATATAAAGCCTATGTATCAATATAATTAATATATTATGTAGAAAAATATCTCAAGTTTTTTTAATTATGTTTTCTTGTCTAAATCAATGTGTTATGACAAAATCGTGACGAAACAATTTACAAAAACAAAATTATTTCTAAAAAAATTAGTAGAAAACAAATCGTTTTGCTATCCATATATTGCCATATAACAAGCAATAAAATTTGTTAATAAAAATATATCGCATCAATGAGCTTTTGTTAATATAAAATTTAAAATGCAGCAGTTTGTATATATATATATATAATTCAAGAGTACCTAAAATTAGTATTATATTCTATTATACTATCGCCTAGTTTTATGCACCATGCACCAGCATGCTTGAATGTCTGTTTAAGAAGTATCGGTTCAAGAATGGCATCTAACTCTTCTTCTATATGTTCTAACAACAATGGCTGTCCAAATTGTAGCGCATTTTCTAAAATCCTGATGTAATTAGGTCGATTTAATCGAATAATGCTCATATTATTCTTCTTTTCCATGTTTCTTATCCATTTGTTAGCTTGGCCTTGCGGATCTATTATCAACGGCCATCTTCTGGCATTTCTAAAAAAAAATACTAGCATTATGTAACATTATATATGTTACTGAGATTTACTTTACAATTTACTTACGTAATGATAATTCCATTGTCGATGGAAAATACATCGGCAGGCAATCCGGCGATGTTCCATGATCTGATCGAAACTGGATCGCCAAGTACATCGCGCAGATAGAAATTTAAACTGCAAATTAGTTCCATACTCGTACACAATTGCACCCATTCGTCTATCTGCTGCACACGAAACGGCGTAGTGAATGGACCTAAGTAAGCCACTACACCGGAAGCAATTAGCACGTCTCCCGTTAGTCGATTATATCTATGGAAAGTAGAAAAAAATCAAATTAATATGAATTTACCATAATATACATTCACAGTAATTAAAAGAAAATTTGCAATAATTATAAATAAAAATCCATTTCAAACAAGTCTTACTTGGTGTCTAGATCCTCAGCAGTTTGGGACCATCGTGCATATTCTCCGCCTAATCCTTTGATGAGATCTACTGCTCGCTTCAATTTCGTCTCACATTCCGTCACCTGGTCTGACATCGTTTGAAACTCTATCCTCCTTTTCTTTAGAGTTTCTTCAAGAACCAACAATTTTTCCTAATAGTAAATTTTTTAAAATTAAATTTTTTAAATATATTCATATATAAATGTACTATTATTTTTTTAGAAATTGAATTTGATTATCATTTTGTATTAATTTTGTTGATATTCGCAATGCGTACCTGTATTTGGCGCAATAGTTCTCTCATCATATTTAATTTTTCCATAGCATCACGATAGGCAGCTTCAGCTTCCGCAAGGGCTCGTTTCTTAGGAGCGACGATTTTCGCGATTATATCGTACTCGGACATTGCAATGACCCAACGGCATAATCCTTCACAAGCCGTTGACACCTTTTTGACTTTCTCCGGATCAAAGGCCGGATTCACCAGATACTCTTTCCGTATTGTTTCGATTACTTTATCCGGTATGTTATCCTTATCGAACTGAAGTAGGGATTCTAAAAATTTAACATCGCTGAGCATCTTTAAGGCGGCCTTCCAGAAATCTTCAATTACCGGACCCTCCTTTGTATATATTTTCTCTGGCTTTATTTGCTGTAATAATTCATTGAAATTGCAACAATGTATAAGCAATAAAATAAAAAATCTGAATCATTATTATGCCAGATCTTTTGCGAATGGCAATATATACTATTGTTCATTGTACAATTGTTTTGTACCTTAAGGACGCAAACGCTTTCCACAATAAGCTTCACGCCATAAGGCGGATGCTTCATTGCTTTCACTACTGCGATATCTGCCGTTGTTAATGTGTCTAACGCTGCTTGGGCTCGAAGTAAGATAGGCATAGCTGCAGCTAAATCAGCATCACATTCGGCTCTTATCCTAGCTGCTTCATTCGCGACTGCCTATATGATAATAACTTTATATAGGAGCATAGTTTCGTTAAACTTGTGTTTCATGTTTAATGTCAATAATATATTGTTCTAACAATATAATGTATTAATATTTAATTTTTCATTAAAATGTTAATGTATTATATTGTTAGTACAATATAATATGTCAGTAATCAAATAGGGATTCTATGATCTTACTTCAGCCGCGGCTTCGTCGAATTTGACTTCTGTCTCAACCTCAGCGACTTCCACACGTTCTTTCTCAATGTCAAGCAACATTGTCTGGATATCCTGCGTAGCTGTAATCAATTTTGGTTGCAACAGTTTCAATATATCCTGCATCTCTATTACTTGCCGCTGCGTACTATCCAATTGTCCTAATCCACCTTCATACCGAGTCTTAGCTTGCAGCACTTCTCTGTAACATTATAAAAAATTAAACGGAAAATTATGAAGCTTAATGAAGTCATACTTACCCACGCTTTTTATTGAGTAAAGTCTGAAAAGTCTTGATCATTTCGAGATAAGTTGTAGGCGTCACATAATTGCGTCTATTCAAACGAATGAAGAATTCATTACTTAATTTTTGAGTGGTTATATGAAAGATTTGACACATATCAATACAGACACTTCTTTCGTGATCAGTAAGTTCAACGGTAGCCAAGAATTTCGTCGCGACAGCGAACAACGCATCTTTAGGCCATGGCTTGAATGATGATATTAAAGATATATTATTTTTATATTTTTTTTTTAAACAACAGTGATAAAATCTGATGATTTTATTTTAATACCTGAAGCCAATCTATGGTGCAACAGTTAACTAAAGCCGGAAATTTCCTAATTCGATTTCTAAAAGCGTCACCGATGGGAGACATAGTGACAACAATATGTAATTGATCCCGACAGATTTGTACGAATAGATTAAAAAGCGCCGCAGGGCTACCATCTGTTTGAAATGCTCGTTCTCGTTGTTGATCAATTATTTTCATCTTCTCACATATTTCGACCATCTCATCAGCCATATATAGATTTGGCACCTAAATAAAGATCAAAATTGTTGAATTTTTTCACGTTGTTAAATGTTTTTTAGCGAGCAAAAAGATATACATAAACAAAATGGCGAATAAAGATAAATAAATCGATGTGTTATTTACTTCTCCTGAATTAAGCATATTGCTGATATCTTCCAAGAAGGTCTCTTCTTTAATCTGCGTATCGCTGAAGAGAAAAGTCGAATGCAATTCGGTAGCAGTGACTTTCTTCAAAATAAGTTTAATGTCCTCGTGCCATTCATACTGGCCATATTGTTGCGAAAGTTCAACTTGAAACACGTCGTAGTCGCAAATGTGTGACGCCAATCTGGTTAAAGATTGCCTTCCAGATCCACCGATTCCAACGAGGAGAGCATGACTTCGTGGTTGCTTGATGATACGAGCTATCCTCGATAGATGTTCGATTGCGTACCTTCATATTACATAGAATTTAGCATAAAATTGAATATTAATTGCAAGTATTACATTTATAAAATATTACAAATATAAAACAGATTTACCGGAACAATACCAGATCCATAGGCTTCCTTGTCATTGAATTATACTCAGAAAGATATGTTTCCACGATCTCTCGTAATTGTTCTAAATCGCTAACTTCTTGGTACAAACGAACGTCTACCCCGGGATCGGCAAAATCGCAATATATCAAATTTCGTAATTCATTTATGGTAATCTACAGAAAATGTACAAAAATGTGAGAGGTCAAAGCACAATTTTCTTTTTTAACTTTTCTAGCTAAAGGATAAAATTTACCTGTCGTTCCTTCTCTGGAAGGAAAAGATCTTCGAAGAGCTCTTCTAACGAGACTTTCATATGTGTCTTTAGTGTCACATTTATTTGATGTATCAGCCAATTGATATCAATTTCGTCAACGGAACGGTCTCCAAATACACGAAGTATCTCGTGAACCCATAATCGATTCATATTTGATAGTGCAGGCATAGTTTCTGGAACTGATAAAAGCACTCCCTGCGTAATAATTGTAATAATTAATAAAGAAATTTTCTCGAAAATATTGATAATAATAGATTGAATAATAAGATGTTAAACAACCTGAATAACTCTGGAGAAATCTCGAAGATTAAACGTGTAATGACATTTCGCTGGTGTCGGTAGCAGATTGCGCAAACTCCCTTTATATATGTCTAGCGTTGCTAAAACAATTTGATCAATGCATGGATCAAATTCTTTACTAAAACCCCTACAATATGCAAAAAAACATATACTACATATATTATAGATTTTCATAAAATAAGATATTTACTCAGAATAAATTTAAAATATATTTTGTGAATATTTTTATAAATCTTAAATATTTTTAAATTTATAGACCTTGCATCGAGATGCCACAGAATAATCTTACTAAATATCGCAATCATAACTTCATCCTGGAATTCAGATATTGCCAAAACGAAAAAGTGTCGTTTGAATCGCGGCGTAACATCTTTGCCTACGATTGGCGGAGACATAGCACACATTAATTGGATTTCAATCAATTTTATTAACGTTTGTTCTCTTATATCATACCTGCCAATAAGAAATTAATAAAAATTACGAATATTTTATTCAAATTAAATTTAACACTATTTGAGCAATACTCAAACATGTAATAATTTTATATTACAAAATTATAAGTTAAAATTAAAAAATCAGATGTCTATAAGGTAAACGTTCCAGAAGTGACCAGACATATACCTATATCCGGACATTTACACAAAACTTCATTTGTTTATATTATTATTAATGTCAAATGCTATTTAAAATAATCTTTATATATCTATAATTAGATTATAATACTGTAATAGAAAAAACATTTGAGATTAATAATAATAAATCTTGTAAGTGTTCAGACATAGATACATGTCCGGTCACTGGGATATTTATCTTAAGTGACAAACAATTCAGAGTTTACCATTGCCAGTGATCCAACCATTGCCGTAATAATTCTATGGGCGGTTGTGCCCCAAATATCTCTTTCATTGGCATTGAAACGTCATCGACGAAGACAATCCATCGTTTCCCTATAGGAGGACCATAAACGCCCTTTCTCCTACGATCTAATTTACTCATAATAATATTTTGCGTCTGGTTAGCAGTGGTTTGCGCGGAAAAATTAATCAGCAACGGTTTATTCACTTCGGCATTGTTCTTCCTCAATAGGAAGTCGATTATGTATACCGACTTTCCGGTGCCTGTTGGACCTACAAAGAGTACCGGTTTCTCGTGTTGTACCAGCATCTGAAAGAGAGTCGTGTACCGTACTGTTTCTACGGTTGGCACAATTATTTGATTGACAGGGATGTCACGGGGAATCGGGGGCGCCAGTAATAGCTCGTCCGACCATAATTTCCACTTTCCTTTGCCCTAATAAAAAAAAAAAACATAAATTTAAACAAGATGAAATTTAGCGAAATAAAATATCTTAAAAGATAAAAATATTTTTTATTTAGATATCAAAATTAGATAAATAAATTTTTGCAAGTTTACCTCTTTAATAAATCTGTAATCAAATACCAGTTTATGCTTTGGTATGATAAATATATAGGGTTTTAAAGGTGATGGAACCGGTTCTTGTAACTGATATGTGTTCATTAGCTCCTGAGGAAATTCTTTCTCCAGAAGCCCACGAAATAAAATGCTAAATGATTGTTTATACTTGGCTTCCAAAGTGCCGCCCATTGCCCAGATGCACGAAAAGAAAAACGAACCCTGCACAAATATTTATAAGATTAATTCATTACGACTTACAACATTTTATTAACTATTTGCTTATTTGATTCCGACTTCTAGCTGTGCTCGAAGATCAAGTTCGCTTAAATTTTGTACTATTTCTTCATTATAATAATCATTCAAGAAACAATCCACGAGATAAGTAACAGATCGTAAAATGTTTGAATCAGGCATCGGACATATTTCCTGCAAAGTAATAAATACAATGTATGAACAATACTTATAATACGTAATTTTATTTGTATCAAAAATAAAAAGTCTCCTACCTTTACGTTACATCGGCGTAATAAATGAAAAAGAGGTTTACAAAATCTGAGGAATAGCGATTTGTAAAGAAAGACTCGTAGCCATTCATCTATCACTTTTGGCAATTTAGCCATCCAAGAATTTAATAAAGGGTCCCATCCTAATGCTCCAGGCTCCATATAAATCATTCCTGTTTTGAACAATTTTCGTTGATCATCTAATTCCAGATTTCAAACTTGCTTATTGTCAAAAGATCCCATTTACCGCAACGAGATACTGTGGCCGGTGAAGCAGCTTCTAGATCTAATGGCTCGAATATCAAGTTGGTCATCGGCGCCAACTGAATGATCTCTCCGCTCATCAAACATAACTTTTTGTTGTCGTCAAGAACAGTATTCATACTTTCTATCCATATTGCGTCTATCGGACCATCGAAAACTAACCACTTTCGATTGTCGTTTGTCGAAGTTGCAAAAGCTCGATAGCTAATAGCCAGAATACCGTCCTTCCATTCGTGAGAGTCTGGATCGAATTGCCCGTACAATTGTCCAAGAGTTATTGCCTTCGGATTGATCACCGTTATCTCTACTTTGCGCTCGTTTATCCAATTCTATTTAAAATTAACATTAAATTTAATTATTTGATTTAATCATATTATATACTGCTATAATTGCTGTCATTTTTTGATGTGTTGGAACTGAAGTAACAATTAATGAGTTAGGAACATTTACATTTTCTTCGCAAATTTCGAGTGCGTCTGCCAGCATTTTGTAGGCCGTAGTCTTGCCAGCGAAGGGATATCCGATGATCATGAATCCATGTCTGACTAACATCATTTCGTATATTTGTTGAATTTTCTCTAGAAACTCAGGAACGCACTGGATGTTTGCAGCGGCGCACGCTTTATGCACGGACTCATTTAAGTATACATAGTTCGGTTCAGGAAGTTGCACGTTTGGAAAAAGATCCGAGATGATGCCCTAAAATGATATATTCTTGATGATTTATCCCCTTTATTTGAGCATAAATGTATAGACATACGTGAAACAGTGGTATATCTTCACTAAGAAACTTGGGCAAATTCACATCCTTTATACTACGCAGGATTAAAATGTCCTCGTTTTCTTTTGGATACTTCAATTTCAAATGTCCTGCTGCTATTAAGACAGTCTTTACTGCTCGCATACCGTAATCATAATGAGTCTGGCTAGACAGTTGCTCTGAGCATAATTTATAAGCCATAACTATTTTAACGGACAAAGGTCTCGCGTTGTAAAATCCATATGAGTACAAAATGTTTTCTGCTATTAAAGCGTAATCCGGTACCTGTTAAATATTTTTAAAAATATAACATAATTGTACAAGAAAATAAAGCATATTTTTTTCAAAGCGCAGATTTGATCTCACCATCATAGCCACTGGTCGAAATAAAGCTTTCAAATTGTCTGGCAATTCCGTTCTGCCAGCGTATCCCGGATTCATTGTGGTGAATATCGCGCAGGTACAATCCAGTTTTAATTCTGTTTCCTCGAATATTAATATCTCCTTCCCTGCCTGTATAGCTCGTTGAAGAGTTAATATTAGCTGCGCCACTACCGATAAGACTTCTAAATCAATGCGGTTGAACTCATCGAAACAAGACCACGCACCTGTACAGGCTAATCCCTGTTGAATTATTTAATATATATTTACAATAAGATATAATTTTTTATTTGTTGTAAAAACGACAAGTTATATTTTATGCTTATATTACTCGAACAAAAATTTTTTTTTTTTAACTTTAGCTTCACAGGACGTCCCATTTTAATCAATCCAATTATCTGCGATATTAAATTACGATACGAAATTATTAATGATAAAACATTTTTTGTACACCAATAATTTCGGAAAAAATTAACTTGGATTGATTAAAATGGGACATTCTGTATAATTGTTTTTGTATATTCTGTAAACTGTTAAATTAAATGTTTCCAATTTGTACTTTGAAAAATTTTCCCAGAGCGATATAGTCTAGCCCTTCCGAGCAATTGAATACGACGCATTGCTTGGCAACTGCCTTTGCTAGATCTTTGGTAGTTTCAGTTTTTCCTGTCCCAGCAGGTCCTTCCGGAGCGCCGCCGAGATGCTGGTTGAGGGCACCGAACAAGGTACGATAGCATCGATCGGTGAGTGGCGTGATCACTAATCGCGATGTATTGCCCAAGTATTCATATGCATAGGCTAGCTGAGAATTTATCATCATCGTATGCAAGTTCTCATCCTATAGAACAAAAGCATACATTTTCATATTGGCGACACTGAATATATTATACGATAACGCAAATGTAAATGTAAATTATAAATAAACTGAAAAGAATGACTGCGTATTTAAATGTACTCACTATCCAATAATATCTCATTTGACAAAGCCACTTAAAATCTGTGATTTTATTTACACTTTGCTCGCATAATTGCACCAGCACGTCACGACTGTGAACATCTAACGTTACTAGAGCTTCTGCAAATAAAAACAAGAAGAAAAGAGTAATTTCTGGATCGTAGTAACTGGGATACTTAATTTTTAACCAAACAAAATACTGACCCAAAGTCGTTCGATTCTGCTTTGATAATTTACCGCGGACGAGCTTGACAATTTCATTAAGTTCGTACGTGCATGTTTCTATATAATCTCTTAAATTTTCGGAGTTCTTTGTAAGTTTATTAGTAATATCTGCCGTCCAGTATAGTTTACTAACACAGAGAATAGTCTGCCCCGGCCATTCCAGGGCCCATTGGCTCCTAGCTTTAGTCGGAAAGGCATTTTTAGCTCGTATCACCTGAAGAGAAAAATCGTACCAATATTTAATGATTTAATGTAAGACTTTCTTGTTATCGATTTCAATTAACCTGAGCCTTGACGCTTTTTTTCATATCATTTTCAAGTTCAAGGAGCCATTTTTCCACTTGTCCTCGCGCAGCAGCCGTATCGATTATATCCTCGAGAATAATCAACTCCTCTTCAGATGACATCATAGCTGTGGCCTCCTTGACTTCGGTAAAGCTCAGTTTTGCAATACCCTCGAAACACTTTTTCAAATGCGGTTGCACTCTATAATTAAAATAAACAATTACGAATTGATATGTGTATAATAATAATATGCATAATAAGGCATATATATATATATATATATATACCGCGTGGGATCCCTTGTCTCACATAAAATTTCTAGAAGTTCATCGTTAGACAGAAAGAAAAATCGCGGAAAGAAGAGTCTCTTTTTCTCTAGATAAGCGGCAAGTCCTTTCTGCACTAATTCAAGCAAAGTAGTACATTTTTTCAAGCGATCCAACATCTTGTCGATATCGATAACACTCATAACTGTTGGATTATCCACGACGATTCTCATAAGTTCTCTCCAGATCTATTTTACACATCATTTAAATTTGAAATTATTATAAATTTATATATATGTATATTTTTGCATATAAATGTAACGAGATAATTTACGTTATGAATAATTACTTTATCTACGGCGATAAATCGTCGACTTTCCTCTGGCATCTGTTGCTGTATATCGGGCGATGAGAAGATTGGTTCAAGATACTTCCACGTTACTTGAACTTTGATCCAATAATCCATAATATTTTGTAAGAAAAGTAACTTGACTTCCCATTCTCTAATAAAATAATAAGATAATAGCATAGAATAATAAATGGTCACGAACTTTATTTGACAATTAAAGTAGCATTAAACTAAAAGAAATTAAATCTCTCCCCCCCCCCCTCTCTCTCTCTCTTTCTCTTTCTCTATATAAATCAGTCTCTATATAAATCTCTATATATAAAATAGTTATTAAAAATTTCATAAACCTACAGAGTTTCTTTCTCAATTGGTTTTATATAAATAGAATTCTTCATCGTCTGGGTTTTTGTTAGATGATCGTCGAGCAACATCTGTATTTCTTCTACACTGCCAATAACATATGTGCCAGTCTCACGATAAAAAATGACAGTAAAAGCGATATCCGCCCAACCCGAAAACATTTTGAATAAAGCCTTCTCCAAATTACCCTCTTTAGTAGCCGTCTCGGATATTACATCAAATTTCGCGACATAGTCGCCTAGGCCGTAGTCGAGAATCTGCGGACGTAAATATGATTATGATCAGTAGCCAATGACAAACCAGTTAGGTTCACCTTTACCTTGGTCAACGTCATGTATTGATCGACTTTTATCGGAAACCCAACAATTTCCGAAATCTGTTCCCAATGGCGACTTCTCAGGAAAGGATTCCCGAGAGTCAATATCACCGGCATATGCTCTTTAAAATCTTCGACTTTTAGTTTTACGGTTTCTGCTAACTTTTTCACAACAGGTTCTTGAAAAGTTGTTTCCAACTTGTATATTGTACGATATGCATTGCTCGTTTCAGTTTCAATCATTTCGGGATCATATGAGCCTATCATAGCTTCGGTCCAATTTTCATGATTAATTAAAAATTCACAGGCAGTGTCATACAATTTTTTGTAGGGTGCCAACTTATCGGCTAACTAATTATCAATAAAAATAATATTATTCCTTTCATATAAAAAAAATAATGAGATAGAAAATGTAGGTATAAAACATCGAATTTTTTATATTTTTAAAACTATAAAAGCTTCGAACTTATAATAATTTCTATAATTTATTTATATCACTAGATTGCTTCAAAATATATGTACTGATAAATGTGAATCGATAAAATTCAACCTTTTTGTATTACCTTTTTTCTTAAGGGATACATTGATGTTTCCCATCCGAATAACTTTTCTTCATCGTTGAATTCTAAAATTGTATTTATAGCAGTAATCAATTTTTGCTCGAGACTCGCAGCTTTCTTTTTGTATCGGTGTATCTCCTCAATATTGCCCCAATGTTGCAACTCGTTGCAATATTTGTCATAAATCTGAAGATCCTGTTGAAATTTCTCGATTCTGACTTTAAGTGTTGCTTGATACTCGTCCGTTTTACTTGCAATTATTTCTCGGTACTTTTCGAAAATTTTAGGCATTGCGTAATACCTGAATATATGAGAATTTCAATTATTTACATTATTCAAAATTTCCAGGTATAATTAAATTTTTTTTCCTTTATATGTAATTGTATCATAAGTGAAACAATTCTTTCATATATAATTATAAAACAAATTTTATTGCAAATTAATATAATTAAAACATGCTTACCAATGAAAAGCAAAATTATTGTTCTTCAACTCAATAGGTGTTAAATGGTGATAATCTGATAAAAATATTATATATTCCATTGCTTCTTGCAATCGAGTTTTTAATTCAAAAACAGTCTCCGTTTCAGATTTATGTATAAAAGTCTGCAATTTTATAAGTTCTGACGTATTTGGCGGTACGCTTAACGCTCGCTTTGCAATGTTTTGATAAACATCTGCTATACTAATAATTAAAACTTATTAGATAATAAAATTGTCACAATTTTTAGTCATCAAATTTGCGAGAAACGTACGCTCGAACTTTTTGTTGATAATCAGCGATCATTCTTGAAATTAATTTATCTTTGAGTTGAGCAGCTGTAGAAGTGAGATGTCTTATAATATAATGTTTGCGAACTTTAAAGAGATCAGTAAAAGATGTCCAATGAAACTCTAGTGGAATATTCTTGCTCAATTGATCATAATAATCAACGAGTTCGCAATATTTCTGATACGGATTAGGTGGTTGGGTCTTTAGAAAGTCTTCAATGTAATTGATGTCCTCATTATTTATTAAGCTCATATGTTTATCGAACTCATGCAACTGCATTTCCGGTTCAGTTTTATATTGTTCAATTAAATTTGATATGACATTCGCATGTTGCTCAAGAATGTCTGAAGAAATTATTGGCTGCGAAAGCAGGTAGGAATTTAATAATTATAGTATTATAATATAACTTTATTAATAATTTTTAATCATTACATTGAGTATAATAATCAAATAATTATTGGAAATGAAACTTTTGGCAGTTATTTAATAATTTTATTTAAACATTATATGATATTTTTAACCCATTCAATATTATATAAAGTGTATACCGTGAGCAATTCAGTGGAACTACTATCCGGATAAATCCACTTGAGTTTTACTTCCACTCGTGGTAATGTTGTTACAGCATCATAAAGAGAATTCAGCAACATTGAAAGGCCGTTTGCAAATCCTTTGAATGTAGGATCAAAAACGATAGATGTGTTTCGTACCACAACGTTTATATTAAAGCCACAATTTGTGTACTGTTTAAAATAATTGTATTTAATATATTGGATCGAAATATACATTAAAAACAAATTTTTAATCGGACACCGACTATAAAATTATACTATAAAAATTATACTTACACCAACGTCTTTGAGATAATTAATATAGTCTTCCATCGAACGTAAGCACAAGTCTCGCAATTGATTTTCCATGACGTAGGCAAGGCAATTGAAGAATCTATTATATTGCGGATTATTCACAGATGGTAGAGTTCCCTTCTTCGAAGCCTATTGATGTAGAGATTTTAACATCAGGTATGAATTAATATCTATAAAAAGTATTTCTACCGTTTAAGGCTTAAGTTATACAGCAAATTTCTTACTGTGAGTAAAATATTGCAGAGCTTTGGCAACCATCGTTTAAGAAGATCATCGCTCGTATCTTTAAGAATTTTTAAGAATTTGTAATCAAATTTTGAAAGATCGTACGGTTTTCTATACGACGCCAACTCTCGTATGTCTACTTGTTTGACCTCTCTATGAATTACGAGATTATACTGGACCAAAAATCATTTCATGTATAATAATATTCTGATGCTATATGCCATTTCAATTTACTAACCCATATTCACGATACCATAAATTTACAATTTTGCGTATGCACGGGTGATACAGCATGATCGATCTCTCCTCCAATTTTGCTCTTCTTTTTTTACATTTAATACAGTGCTCCAGCGAGAACAATTCAGCAATTTCTCGGGAGAGCAATGGCTGCAATGTGTAATCGGAATGTGTAATCGCAAAAAGCAATCGAGTGTAAAGAGCAGCGACCGTATAGGATTATTGGCAAAATGTTGTCGAACTCAACATCAGGTGCTCAAAGTTTTTTTTACTGCTCATGAAATAATACTTTCTCATATACCTATGTTATGTGTCATTGCAGACATTTGGAAACGGTAGTGTCTCGGCGTCATAATGCGAGACCAACAGTGCATCTTTATGCGATAATACTTACTGGAACAAAGACCTCCTCCTCGAAGGGTTCCTGCAGCACAAAGTCAACGAGAGATTTTTTCATGTTCGCAACATAGTCGCTTTTTAATTCTCTAATCAATTGATTGAAGCATTTGTTGTGTTTCTTCTGCCATTTAGCGGACACCATGCTCGTTATCTTCTTTAACGTGTCAGAATCTAAGGTACCTGCGTGAATGTCGTCAACATCATGAAGAATGTAGTAGTAATACCTCAAGAGATTCTTGTCTTCTTCCGTGAGCCAAATGTCACCAATATCGTCGACGTCGCTCAAAGTTGTTTGTCCGCAAACGTCACCATCATCTAAAATCATACACTCCTTTGCATAGTCACTACAAATTTCCATCTTGTCTTCGTGACGACTTTTGCATTTCATCGGCCCTTTGATCTTCCTGATCAGATGCATCCGAAATTCAGCTCTCTTCTGACACAGTGACGTATAATAATCTTTGGAAGGAATTATGTTTTGCTTTTTCTTTAGTGCCGTGGTGCTGCTTTTAAATTTATTTAATAATTTTTTTTACAAAATTTGATATATACTTTATACAGAAAATAGAAATACGTAATCAAGCATTACAATGTTATACTTTGCAAGAAACAAACAATATTTTACCAACTGCTAGTAGCTTACCTCGACGAAGCTTCACACTTTTGTGGCAAATTGCAAATCTCCGGTTCATCTTTAATATATTTTTTTAAACGATCATATGTCTTCTGATGCGCGTGATAACTTTTAGAAAGCTTGATATTTGAGGAATATATGTGGGAAGTGGATTTCATCCAATCGCAATGTTTTTTACGAGATTTCCCAACGAATGACTCCTTACTTTGCTTTGTCAATCCTGTGCATGATTCCGATTTATAAATGTCAATTCTTTCGTCGCTTTTATCTTGCTCTATAATTTCTTCCTTTCTTTCACTTTTATCTTTTTCTTGTACACAACGCAAGTTCTCCATCATGTAACCCCAAACCTTTACTTTCTTTTTATCAAAATTATCCCATTAAAGTAAATTTTAGGACATTAAGTGTGTACATGATTTGAACAGAAAATCATAAAATGAATCACTCAACCTCTTCCTTTACGGTACAACATACCGTTTCACTCGCTTTATAAGGGTTACGTTACCATAGCAGTCACAATAACATGGAGACGTTACGTCAATCCACGTCAATCGTACATACATAAATTTATATTTGCATATATTCAGAATGATCTTTTATCGATAAATACATTTTTATACCTGAAATTCTATAGTACATGTAACATAAACTAGTACTAAATATAATACGCTAACATTGTAAAAGTGCATTCTGAATATAGTCCGATATCTTTACTGTTGATTGTTGCTGATATAAGAATTGTTACATATAATAATGCAATATGCATTAATAACGCAAAATATAATTGAAAACAAGCATTTGTGCAAAAACAAAAAATCTATTCTGGGAAATACACATTTAATAAAGAAATGAAGGCTGAAGGATGTAAAAAAAATGATAGATGTCTGTTCCTTTTAACATAAATATTTATTGTGTATTTATATATGTGACATCGTTTTCAGAATAATACTTTCATAAGTGTAGTGAATCTGTCGATGATACGTATAATCTGATAGTTTGATATTTATCAATGGCCGCTAGCTTGCGACTTTGCGGTACCGTAGATATGAAGATAACGATGCAATATAATATATTTCCTTTATATATCGAAGATTCCGCAAAATATAAAGTTTAACGCAAAATATAAAGTTTATCGCGATATTAAATTTTATATATTTGTATTTATATAACGTATATATAATATATATATATATATATATATATATATATATATGTACATATATCACGACAATTCACACACATTTGATTGTCACTCGTCTCTGATACATATAGTACACTGTTGATCCCTCTATACATCTAAATAGGCAACGTGAAGTATTAATTCTTTCTTTATTCCAGGAATATGCGAACGAGAATTCAGTTCAACAAATTATCAGGGACAATTTGCTAAGTATGTCTGTGTACGTGTGTTCGTTCACGCGCGCGCACGTGTACATGTATACGTGTGCAAAAAAATAAACATGTTGGACCCCCGCAACCTCCTAGCATGCCCCTTGCACACTACGATCGGAATTAAAATATCCACATATAGACGAACGATTAAGAGCGAAAAGGCGACGCTTTAAAGGGAGAAAAGCACCCGTTTTTGTTAGCTTTTGCCAGTGAAAATATGTGGGCGGCACATGCTCCGCAACGGCGATTCGTAGCCAAAACGAGGACCGCGTGGATATATTGATTTTCTTTCCGACACCTTTCCGATGTTTTAACGTCGAAATATAGTTGTCACCGTTTATGTACGCGATAGTGATACGTTACACAGGGATAAACCATAAACGATTTAAATTGTCCTTTCTTTTGATATATCGTAGAGGTAGAGAATATTTACAAACTATTTTTGCAAAAAAGGATAAATGTCGACGACGCTTGTCGCGACATTTTTTCGAATCAATTGTTTGTAAAATCAAATTTTCCATCAGGATAAACATAGATTGGTTTGAATATTTATATAGTATTTATTGAGAAAAAATTTTGTATTCTGTTTCAAAGAAAAAGCTATTATATCGTGTTTTCTTTGACAGTTATACCCTGTGTAACGATATAATTGTACAATTATATCTAACGGCTTATATATCTAATGTTGATTGACACAGGTACATTCAATGTGAGTACGAATAACACAGCGTTTTAAAAACGTAATCGATTAATTATTGAAATTTATCTTTGCAACTGAATTAATTTCTTTATTACGCAATTCGCGGACAAGTAATCTTTTTCATAATCTTAACGAGGTTTTTGCAAATTCGGAAAGAGTAAAATAAATATGATAATGCTACTCACACACATCTACATTTCTGATGATAACATACATGTATTGATACTTCTATACCAACGGTATTGATCCGGTTCTCCTGTGCCTAACAAGCAATAGCGTTACGGTTGCTTATCTAAGCAACGAAATCCTCTTTGATAATTTTCAAGACAAAACTATATTGACGACATCACGAAACACGATACATTTGACAAATTCGCTTGTTTGACATTCTATGACACATAAATACACGTAAAACGTATAGTTTAATATAAATTTTTCTAGTTATACTCACATGCATTATTGCTATGCTTGACAATGCTTTCAAACTTGAACAGATGTAACTAGATGTAAATATCTCTGAATTAATTGAAAATCGTGTATATTCTTTTTAAATATATTTAACCAATTATATAAATCGATAAGTTAAAATATGTCACGTGATATAATATTTTGTTACAATATAATATAAAAAGAAAATCTTTTTACAATTTAAAATATCCGATATGTTAAATTTTCATCTTAAATCTTGACGGTATAATACGCGTCATCTCTTTCTAACTTTTTTATATTTTGATATTTATAAATTCCAATATTTAATCTTTCAACTTTTATATAATATAAAATTAGCATATACACATCATCACTTTTTAGCTTAGAGAAAAATATAAAAGCATCAAACTCGAAACATTTCATGTTGTATTTAATTGTATATAAAAATTCCATTTGTTAGATCAAAGTTTTATATTGCAAAGAATGCGAAAGGAACTATCTGTCACGCGGCATTATTGCCAAGGTGCTCATTTGAGAAATTTATAGAATTGGAAGGCATAAAATGACACATACTTTGAGTGGAATAAAATAAGGAATTAACTATTTGCCGTATTTTTTTTTTTTTTATCAAATTACTCTATAAAGCGTCTGCCTTAAAATAAAGTACATGAGCCACTTCCAATTATACTTACAATTATCTCTGCCATTGAACACTAATATAGCTTCTTTCACGCTCGGCTGCACAGCAGCCACAGCAGATTAAACACTCTCGTCTTTCTTCACAAGACATTAGGAAAATTAATAATCAAGGCTTATATCGACACCGACGATTTATATACCATATTGCAGTAGTCTCCATTGTTTACACGCAATTAATAGCAATTAATAACTTTCCTAACGACGTATTCTACTTCAGTCAGATTTAGAAAGCGAGATTTAGAAAGCTGCACCGATTTTCAGATAGATACGCAATGTCTTTAATTGTACGAGAGACGCGATTCAAGATACGAATTGACAATGGAAAAAACTTGATATTATTTTGTTTATTTGTTTACTTGTGACAAGCTCGCACGACGGAACGGAAAATCCGGGGAGTCATCGAACGGTTAAGGTCTTGTGAAGCGATACCGGTACGGAGTCCAGGCGAATAGTTCTAAGGGAAAAGAACACATATCCATTGTGTATCCATCATTAACTTGACACATCTTCTAATTACTTTTAACATGCAAGTGATATTAGCGCGGAGAACATCACTATAATCTCGTCGTTTACGCGCTGCTTGGGATGCAAAATTAACGTGCACTATGAAAACGTCCAGCTCGCTTGTGTTTGAAAATAAAGTCTTTCTTCTTCTTCTTTAACTGATAATTAACTTCCGCTCTCTATCCTTAATCTGCAATCTGTTTCGATGCAAGCTGCCGTTTCCAGTTGTGTTTACTACTCCGATGATGAAACATGCCAGATTGCTATGGATCCGTTAATTGATTTATACAAATGTTCAGGTGAAGAAATTTAAATATAGTATCATCTGATCGAAGTGATCGAAAGATCTTGCGAGATAAGCGCGTATTATAACAAGATAGAACGAATCTGATGATGAATGTTGCAAACATGTATACTTTGAAGGATCGTATTATATAATGAATAATTGGATGATTTACTGAATGATTACTGAATGAGTACCGAACGATTCGACGGCAATCGGTCATTGTTTCATATGAGAGATAATAGAATAAATTGAAGTATTATATAAAAGATCAAGAACATCGTTCTTCGTTAATTAGCGGAGGAATTAGAACGATCGCTTTGATCGCTATTCGAATTGATCGGTGTGATCGACTAGTTTTTCATCTACCTGCAGGTGATATATGGGAGGATGTCTGCAGTCTGATCGATGATGATGCGATATGAGACGATGAGAGAGCACGATGCAAAACTACTTGTTTGTAAAGAAGGCTGGTAATAGCGTGGCGGCAGTCACTACATGAATCGCTCTACGATTTACCATGGTTAGTGAAGCACGGGCAAAGCGCATTCAGAATACGATTGCAGAATCCACGCGCTCGATTGTTCCAGCCAGCGATGGTATCGCCACCCTTCAATCTACTACCTGCGCACACACACGAATAGCCAGTATGTTATAAATATCAATCTCGAAAGGTAATTATAATTGCACCATGTTCTACTTCGCAAGTAGCTCTACGGGGGGGTGTCCCACCCAACTTGATCATCTGAAATATCTCCGTCGCTATTGATGGCACGAGAAAATATGTAAGAAAAAAAAATATCAAAGAAAACAAGTTGATGACTGTATTTAATAAAAGATTAAATAATTAACTTATAAATAAATAAAATGTTTAGCTTATAAACATCGATCTTATTTATAATCTTGATTGCGTCTACACGATCATTTTTTATTTTCATATTTTCCCATATTGTGTACGGAGATATTACACAAACACAAGCATATTTCTATTCGTCAATTCAAATATGCATCTATTGAATAAATTATACTTATTTAATGATTACCTACGTGTTCACCAACATCTATAAATTTCTTCAATTATCTTTAGCAATCTAGCCGTCTATACTTTCAAACTATTATCTGTTTGATCTTCTCACATACTTACTTTTTTTCCTCTACCTTTCCAGAGTATAAAATATTTACCATTTTATTTATATCCACCTTCTTTCCCTTCGTTATAGCCGACGCGAGTCAATTAAGAATGTTTCAATTCCGTATAAGTTAGAACATTTAAACAGTAAGAATCAGAACGTAAAATCGATTTGTACTTACCTTCACCTTCAGCTCCCTGAAATATAAAAAAGAAATATTGAAATTGCTTGATTTTCACAATATAATATAGTAAACATTGGCCTCATTGATAAATTAATTCATTACTCTTTGTTTACTGTCATAAAATTTTCTTTAATTGAATAAATTGAATAAATCACGAGTTTATTTACCTCCGATTGAATCTTTCTTTTCGAAGCCTCTGTAGCGGCCGTCTCTATTACTTCACTGATAAATTTCGTGGTTTCTCTCATGAGCTCCTCATCCTCTTTGAAGGCCTCCTTCCTCTGTTCCAATGTTCCTGTCATCAAGTTCTTTTCGTGTTCGTCCATATCGATAGTGGAATGAAAAGATATGGATATCTGTTTGGTCGGTTTGGTCATAATACCGTTGACGATGGCAATTTTCGTGCCCTAATCCTTCGAAATTAAAATTATTCTCAATCAAGAATCTTATGCAAATTAAATGCAAAATTTTCTTCATTTATATACATATATTGCAAATGTTTAGTTACCTTATAGAAAATTCAATGTATAAAAAGAAAAAAATAGAGTGTAATAATTAAATAAAAGATAAAAATCCGATATGGAATATGATGATGAGCAGTCAATAATTTTAGATTAAATAATCTTTTCCTCTATCCTTCTCTCTCTTTCTCTTTTTTTCTCTGTTTTGTTTGATCATCGACTTGATATTAATTCACTAACAAGATTATTATACGTTCGACCCCTCATGTTTTCGAGTCATTCGCGCATATATTGATCAATGATTGACAAAAACAGGGGTTGAAACTGATATAATTTTGATACTTTTAAATTTCAATATTATATAAACATAGCAATAATCGGATATATTAAAATCCATTTCTGAACAAAAATAAATCTTGTTTACAGTATAATTTTTTAAGAAGATATTTATAAATTATCTCTCTTTATTGTTAATATTTTTATTCATGTTTTTAAATTATTTATGTATTTATTGAACGAGTTCAATATACGAATTCAATATACGAATGAACAGTGTAATTGTAAATGATAAATTGCGATTTAGCATAAAGTCTATGCTTCAGTAATTCTACAGCATATAATACACACAGATAGATTTAATTCTAAACAAAATTTAAAACATATATTATGTTATGCATTTAAATTGTCTAAAAAATTGTTTAAAAAATTGAATACTACATTCTATCTGCATGCGAGTGAATTCTTTATGCATCTATCTAATTTATTATTCACATTTAATCCATTTCGCATGATCGCACATTAGTAGAACTCACCGTAGTTACACCGGTTTTGATTTCAGCATCCAATCGGCATTCGAAACGGCTGCCGAGATGAACGATATCATTGCTGAATTTCTAATCAACGCAATAATACGTATGACAGAGACCGACGTAAATACAACGGCTGATGCAGACGGATGTGCCACAGGTGGTGTGTGTTGTTTCACCGCGCACGCACACCTACACGCAACATACACTGGTCTCTACGTAAACGCGCGTATATCCCGGGGATGTCGATGACGTGGATGCAAGTCGTTCAAGGCCGGCTCAAGGTGAGTCTGCAATCGAGATCGGCCGGGTTTATTTAATTGTTGATAAAGGCCTAGACCTGATAGCGAGCTATCCCGAGTCGAGCAGCCGGTCGCTGCGACGGAATCCTTCGGAACCAGGGGACTCGTCGACGCTTTACGGACATGGACTTGGCTCCCTTGATGGGGTGGAAATATAGGGATGATATGCTTCAATATTCGCGACGTCGAACGGGGCGAAGAAAAACTGACAGAAACGGGTAAACCTTCATCTTCTCTTTCGTCGCGTCTTTGACGGGCTCTGCGCTCCGTCAAGTAATGATCGACGCGGACCTGACGAAGCTCTCTTACCCGACTGGATATTACCCCACAACCAGACCCTGAAACGGAGCATGCGTCAGGCAGCTATTAGGTTTTTATATCTTTGCTTCTATATCTCTCTTATCTGCTCGAATATGTACACATGCGCATACATATGCGCGTGCATTTACTGCCCTTATACAGATATGCTAAGTCTATCAATCGACTGGAACAAGGTGAAATTTCATAATATGAATTGTTGCGCAAACAATACAAATGCTGATTATCATTCGTTAGATTCTGTATAAAGAAAAGATTAGAAGCGATTAGTGAAAAAGTGTATTTTACAACATCACAGAAGAATAGAATTTATAATCCAAGGATTTCGTTCTATTTTATTTTGTAGACTTTACTCTGTAAGGAAATAATACATATATCTGCATACTTATATAAAAACAGATTTAATTATTATATTTAGTACATATATGTGTGATGAAGAATTTGAAGATGATTTGGTTCTCTTTGCTTTTGCTTGTGTATAATCATGTTATTATAGATATTAATAAATAGTAAACCTAGATCAATTTCAACGAGCTATGATTAGATGTAACAAAGTAATGTTTATTATTCACAATTATAATTTTCGACGATAAGTTTCAATGGTACATTACAATAAACGGTTACAATAAACAGTTACTCGAAGGAGATGATTCTCAAAATATTCTAATTTTGATATATAGGATAATTATGTATTTCTGTTGCTGATGAGAACTAATTGTAAGCACAGTCGAAACGTTGATTTATCGTCGAAATTATAATTGTGAATAATAAATATTGCTTTGTTATATCTAATTATAGCTCGTTGAAATTGTTGACCTGGGTTTACTATTTATTAATCTGTTATATGAGCGAAAAGAATTGATATTAATTTATGTTGTAATAATGCTATTACAGTGTTATGCAATAATATGTCTCTATCATAAAGTAATGCGCAAAGCTTTTAGTATAATATTTAATACATGAATATTTTTAAAAATTCTTTCGAAAATACGGCAAATTACCTGTATTTAATAATTGCATATTGTCTAATACAAAAAAATGTATGCGAGAAATACTTGTTGATTCTATATCTATTGAAATAATAATGCTGTACTTATCGCGTTCCATAACTTAATTTTGTAATAATACAGTATTGATAAAAGGAGGTTGTAAGGGCATAAAACACATATATTAATATTTACGTTTTAAACAAATTACATACATGTGAAAATCGTGTTCATAACATTCTGTTTTTATTGGACAATACATTTTCATAAATTATTTATTTTATTTGATATTATTTTTATTGTTATAAACAAAAATTTTTTAAATAACAAAAATCTAAATTTTTTAAAAATATAAATATTTTAAATACTTAAAATGACTTATGTAAAGTTTCATTGAGATACACCAATTAGTTTATAACAAATAAATATTTTGTTTATTTACTGAACAATTAATGTTTGAATCCCAATGTAATTTTACATAAATATTTTTGAATTCATAAAATACTTATATAAAAAAATTAAGATTTTTATCATTATTTTATAAATACACATTATTTTATAATACATTTTCATATATTTCTATTATAGAGTACAAATTTAAAAAATATTACTTTTTATCGAAATAACTTTTAATCCAGATGATCAACTGTCTCTAATTTTTTTGTATTACTTTTAAATGCGATTTAGAATAATCTGTAATTTTTTCAAGTAATTCTTAACATATTGCATTTGCAATCTCTTTAAACGTTCTTGTGATGTTCTTGCACTAATTTTATAATTAAAAAAAAACATTTACTTTTTCTTTCCTTTTGAATACATAATTTAATGACCAAGAATAAAGATAAAGATAAAGACAGAGATAAAGAAAAAGAGTTTTTCCATCATAGTTGTATATTTTCTTCTAAATATCACAATATAAGAATTTGTGTTTAAAAAATTTAAACTGTAGAAATATCGTATAGTGTATAACATTAAGCCTATACAATACCTTACAATACGAGCTACCAAGATATTTTTTACGCGGTCCACTTGGTTATATTATTAAGAACACAGTGCGAGCATATGTCTCATAATTGGTGTCAACTGGTCGCAATTAATGACACGCACGTCGAGTGTCAGTTCCTCGTAAGATAAGCAGTTTAGCAATCGCGTCATCATTTTACGCCGATTTCGAATGCAGGATGAATTTTTCTTTTTCCTCCTTCTAATCACAATGATTTCAGATCTAATTCGATTCCTTCCCTCTTTAAAGGGAGGATCTTTCCTACTGTAATTCGAAAAAAAAAAGAATGTGAGCACCCGTTCCAATGCGCTTTGATTATGCTTTAATGGAAAATCGGTTCGGAAAGACAGCTAAATATAGTACAGAGGCGGTTAATAACAAAGGATCGATATGATCACGGTGAATAATTTTTTCCCCGAAGAAGCTCATCGCTCGATTATAGGTAATATGTATTTTTCTTCTTTTACCGTAACGGCATTGTATGCACTTACGTGAACAGCGCATACGACATGCACGTTGCACGTGTTGTTCACCTGTCTCGTTCAAAGCGAGTCTGTATGACAAGCGACTATGTAACATCTACAAAAGATCAACTTTTCTTTTTCCTAGTGTTAATCTTTTAGCTAATTATTTTTGCTGCGAAATCTACAACAACTCGATGTTATTTTAGATTACGTAAATTCAGAAAAAAAACATAAAATAGTATCGCCTACAAGACACAATTGGAAGTTAAACTTTTTATTTGATTGATATATGATGCATATTGCAATGAAAATTTTATAGATAAAATGAAAGGAAATGCATTCTACAATTAATTCCGATGTTCACTTACAATTATATAGTAACCCGGGAAAAAATGTTTCGTTACAATTATATGTAATTATATATAACTATATATAATTATACAAAAAATTGATATATAATTATATATAAAACATGCTCATATCTATAACATTTTTTCCCAGGAACGTACAGATTCCTCTAATCGTCAATGTCAGCCTGAAGAAGAAAAAGAAGAGAGAAACGAATACAAAAACTCATACCTTTTAAATTAGAAAAAACGATCCGTATGTTATTAATGTAGATAAAATAAATAATAAAATAACTAAGTGTTCGTCATGAAAAATTTTAAGTTAAATCAGATATATTAAATTGTATATTACAGCATGTTAGAAATTTTGCAGGAATCAATTTAATCTATTAAATTAATTAATCACCTGTTATATTAATGAGTATGATCAAAGTAATTGACTTTCGTTAATTTAATGTTAAATAGTTATAAAAGAAATTACAAATTAATCAATATCGTCGATGTTTTCGAAACAAATTGTAATAAGTATTATTTTTTAAAATAATTATTTAGGCATCTATTTATTTTTTTCAACCTCCATTCCTAATGATCACGATCATAACTTGTGATAAATTCTGTATCATTCTCATCTGTCTTTCACCGACGACGTAGGAGTCATCTTAAGTCGTCAGCACCTCCGCGAGCATATCGATACGCGAATTCGCAATACGCGCGCGCAATCGTTGATGCATCCGTACATGCGCGCGTTCCGGAAGCCGCCTTCGGCTGTCGGCAGTCGGCCAGTCAGCCAGTCAGCCATCCGTACGTTCCGTACAGCCGTAGACCGGAGTCACCAGGACCAGGCAGAGCCAGGGCAGGGAGCCAGGGAGACCGGAGACGACTGACGACTGGCGACTGACGAGACAATCAACGACAATGTCGCTCGTGCGGACGTCCATTTAAAGATGGCCGCGTCGTCGTGGCCACCCGATCATCGTGTCGCGTCGATTTTAGGCGCGTGACGCGTTTCTTCGGGGGTTCGCGAAACCTTAGATCGACAAAGCCGGACCGTGGGGAGCCCGGACGTCAACGTCGACGGCATATCCAGGCACAGATTCGGCACAGTCGCAGACGAAACGGCGGATCGCGCCGCCGGACGATGATCTAACGTCTCGCGTGTGTGTGCGACGCGTGTGATATACCATGAATTGTCATCAGATACTTAGCGGCGCCTGCAATGCGGGCGATCGCTGCTACGCGGTCGGTTCCGTCGAGGGAATATCCTTCACCGTAAGTTCCATGAAATAACGGTCGCGCTTTCATACGGCGCGTCCTTGGCGATTGGCCAACCTCGCCAATATCGTCAAAGGAATTTCGTACGTAATCGTAAAAGTCGATACGCACTCTCGCATTATGGAAGTCAGCTGATCGAATGACACTTTCATTAGGCTTATAAACGTGGGACATTTACGTCTCACTTACGAGTTTATAGTTTTCTTCGACAAACGACGAAAATGTATATATTTTTTATTGTTTTATTTACATTTTTATCTGATATTTTTGAAGCGTTGCGAATTAAAATTAAAATCTTTTTTACTAATTTTTTACTAACTTTTGTAATTAGCTGTCAAAAGATTTTATCAAAGATAGTGATAGCGATAGTATGATAGTATATCATATTAAAAGATAGACTTAAGATTTGATAAGATAATATGCTTAAATAATGCTTAAATTTATTTGAAGGCAGAGTTAAAAGTATATAATAGTAATAGATTGATTATTATCTGTTTATTGTATATCTGTTTAGGCGTATGCAGCTGGTTGTAATATTGTGATTTTGGCCAATAATTTTGAACGAGTTCAAATAATTCCTGGGGCAGTGCATAATTACATCAGGATTAGCTGTCTGGACTGTAGTACAGACACAGGAAAAATAGCTGCAGCTTATGAAAATCAAGTCTGCATTTTTGAGCCGACTCCACTCATACACAGCACCTGTTCACATGTTTGTATTATAACTGTTCTGTCACATATTTTGATATATATTTAAGAACTCATTTAGATTTTTATTAAATTTTTTGTAAATTTTTTTTTATAGCAATTAGAATATAGATGGGTTCAAACAGGAAGTCTGCAAACAGAATCGAATATTACTTCTTTATCATGGAATTTAGAAGGAACAAGATTGTTAACAGGTGGCGAACTGTTACAATTGTGGCATCAAAATATTACTC